GTACCGCCTGTGAAGAGCGTTTCTGATCCAAGAACAATAGTGAATCTCCAGGCTTTGTTTCTTCCATCGTCCCAACAATGAGCAGCTGTTAACACTCGGTTTGTAGTAAGAAGAGAACCTCCGCATACCCCTTTTCCTGAGCTACCAAGGATATCACTTATGAGACCAGCCTGCAAATATAATGTGGTATATGTAAAAACCCAGTTGATATCTAATAAACCAAAAGATCAAGTTAAAAGGACTAGTTTTTACCTGGTATTTGAATTGTCCTAGTGCAGCAGGAGAGCCGCCAGCAATTCTGCTTATAATAGATTTGTTTCTCAGATATTCTTCTTCAGCCTTCTTGATCCTTTCGGCTTCAGGTATACCATATTTAGTCAAGTATCCATAAGCCGTATTGGAACTAAGAATGTTGTTTAATAAATCGGCGGACCCAAAGGCCGCTAAGGATAGAATTATAATTGCTAGCTTCATGATTAATTCAATTTGTAATAGTATAAGTCGAAGTAATGTAAGAGCTTTATATAGTCTGAATAATCAGTAAGATTTTTAAATAGATAAAAAGACATTGTTATCATTTATTTTAAAACTGATGAATGGAAAACTTTCAAGTGTCGCATAAGTCCCGCCTCACACACGCTCGTGACAACGCCTAATTTATTGGTTCGAGATTGGAGATCGGGATAAAAACTAGGGTTAGTTATTCAATATTTAAGCAACAACCCGCTAATAGAATTTTCATCAAAATCAGTACCGCCATTTCAGAGATTAACTGGAATAAACAGACAGACAGACACATAGACAGACAAACAGAAAAGGTCATAAAAAAATGTTAATTTGATATTTATGTACCAATATAATAATAATATGCATGTAATAATAAACGGTAATTTTAAAATTACAAACAGACACTCCAATTTTATTTATATGTTTATACATATATACGTGTATAGATTGACAGATAAATAGTATAGCAACTGTAACCCGTACTAGGGGTACGATAAAAACAATAAAATACTTAAAAAAATTACAAGAGTAATTAATCGTATGATTCAGATTACAATCAATACTGATGATTGAAGACGATTCATAATAGCTATCTATAACTATATGTTTAATTAATAATTTTATGTTGTACTAGTTTTTTAATTTGTGATAAATATATGTATTTATATTCTTTAAATCAAGTTTGTATGTATTGGAAGCTCTTACAATCATTAAGAAATGTTTTTTTTTAATTTTGGATTTTTCTACATACATTGTTCAATGAAAGTCTGTTATATTTTGATACAAAATTCTTTATATTTACAATAATTTAAGTTTGAAAGAAATTTATGACGTATACAAAAGAAAATGAAGAAGTTTATAAATACATAGTATGTTTTGTTGGTTCGGCAGTGCAGTATTGTGTTCTTATGATTTTTTAAACATCGAGCAGTTATGTTAATTATTTGATTTATGTAGAATGAACGGTCAGTATTATAAATCCTTAAAAAGAAAATTTAATAATCATCAATACGATCTTAGATAAAATTATCGCATGTTCTTAAATTTTTTAAATAATCTATTTTATTATATTATGTGCAGGAACATTTTATGTAAGAACCTTTTTTTAATACAATAGTTTTAGTTTTATAAGGTATACATTGAAATATTCTGTTTGTATGTCTTTCATATCAAATATTTCTAGCATGTAATGAATAAATCTTCGAGTTGATTGATGAAGTCCAAGTACCGTCACAATTAACTTTTATATATTTTACTCTTGATTCTTAAACTTCTTTTAATGATTATTTGGCTTTATATTGTGTGAATTTCTTAGTATAAATATTGTTCTTATAGAACCCCAATTTCGATCGGACTTCCTCCAGGTGACTTATTGTACTTTTGATAGTGTACATTATTCATTGATACTTTAAAAAGAAATCCTTTTTAAAGTAAGTGTATATATGGTGAGCTGAAACATTTATAGGCTGACATATAAACGTTGTCACTAACATTTAATGCGTTTTGTTTAAAGTGTGAGGGTAGTGAGCTTACAATCGATCAATCAGTGTGAAAAAACATAAAAGTTGACTGGCATGTTTAGAGATCCTATGACGTAATTTTATGGATTCGCACGGTATAATATTTATTGACTATCTTATAAAATGAAAATCCATAAATGAAGACTATTAGGTGTCGATATTGAAGCGTTTCAAAGATTTTAGAATAAAAATATTCTGTTTCATCAAGACAATACATTCCGGCTTAGTATTTTGGTATTATCTAACAGATTGATGATAAAAACAAATTAATCCTCTTTAAGTTGTTGAAATTTTACATACTCAAAGTCTTTAGATATAAAAATAATAATGTTGACAAAATATCTATAATGATCAGATTAATGAATTTCCGTTTCACAGGTGATAGAAGGTGATATGAAATTAGTTGCAGATACTCATTTATATGAGGGAAACGACTTCTACACGATACGAGAGGAATGCATACTGCAATTACTTTACGAAGGTTTTTAAATGAAGAAGTGTTTTTAATCTAATCCATTTTTAAATCTCACCAATACCTACATGTCATAGACTTTATACTTTAAAAGCCTAAACTATATTCGTCATTAATAAAGATATTGAATTAATACATATTTTTTTCAATTATTTACCAAGGATATAAATATTTCCTAGGGACATTTTGATTAAGTGGTAGTAAAACTGCCATATGAAATTTTAACTTAAAATTAATTTTAAAGGCACTTGCTGATTTCAAAGAGTTATAGCGTAATATAATTAAAGTCGTATTGAGAACTTATTCGTTTTTGATATGACATTCATTAATAAGAGTGAAAATCCCATCAAAAATCACCCCAGTAGATCTAGTAATGACACATAAGAAACAGACTGGCTGGCCGACAAACTGACAGAGGTTTCAAAAATTTCATTGTTTATGAAGGTATACAATTTTATATGTTTTATCAAAAAGCTGTTGAATTTATATAATAAGATATGCCTATCACTTAAATTGTATTTATTAGTATAAACATAAAAACCACTTGCAATATTAGTGAAGGGAAAATCTGTAGTAAGCCAATATAATTTTTACGACAGAAGTGCTTCTGCCAATATAGGAGTAGATAATGATCATTCTAGATTAAACGAGGCATTCTTATCTGAATAGGAGACAGTGGAATTGTGGATAAATAAATTTATGTAAATTATTATTAATGTAATTAATGAAATGGGTGTATCGATTCCACTGTATAGAGTCTTTACCTGTTTGAATTACAAATATGAGTTGTGAATTCTTTCCTTATATTGAATCTAGACTCAAAGAGAGATATCTAAATTTCAAATTATGTTTCCTAGAGAATAATAGTTATTATAAATATCGGATTTATTACAAATTCGTTGTTTTTAGAGACGCCAGCCTCGCTGACGTTACTAATGTCATTTCTTCTAGTACGTTCCATGATATTTTAAAATGAAACTTCAATTGTTCTTAATGCTCCTGTATTTCTAGAAGGTTCTTCATAATCACATACTTCAATGATACGCACTCACTGAACTCTGAATTCTGAAGTATGCCGTCGTGCGTCCAGACGTCATATTTATACCAAGATTTAAACATAGTTCTATTCTCATTTTAAACAATATTTGAATTCGTTATACTTTTAACAATAATCATGAATACTAATGAGTCTTAATAAGAATTGATGACAGCCTCAAATTATTTTCATGTCGCATTTATTAAAGCTGATAGAGCCGATATAAATAATTAATAGTCCCAATTTTGATATCATCCTATTATAATTTATTTTTACATTTGTAGATGTTGAAAGTGATTTAATTTTTGAATGGGATATTTATTTTGCTCTTTATTGACAGTTTGACTAAAGAAAAATGTTTACAGTCTTTAATAACATTTTTTAATATCCAGTAAAAATATAGTCACCAGATAGAACAGCAGTAATAAAGCTGAGGGTACAGAATACAAGGGAGTATAAAAATTAATATTCTCTATAAGTTAGGCATAGAGTTAACAATTCCATGTTTATCAGTATAATCTGCGGGAAGTGTATATTTTTCTCAGCAAAATTTCCTTGGGTAAAGTCAATGTAAGGTCTTTAAATGAAATAAAAAATATAGTGTATTAAAGCCTATTGCTGTTGAAAGTTCCCCATTAAATAGGTATTAGCTGTGCCATAAGATCCATTAAGTTCATCATATTTATTTATTATAGATGGAATACATTTTTTTTAATTCCGTGACATACATAAATGTGAATGTGAATTTCCGTGACATACATAAATGTCCAAAATTTTTCAAAAATATTTTTGTTAAGTGCAAGCAAGTTGAAAGTACGTCACTTGTTCATGTTTCAACTTGTTTACCTTTCTGTGACTACCTATATAAGTTATAGAGTATAAAAGTATCATATAAGAGAATTAAGAATAGTATTCTATTTGGTTTTAATTACATTCATTGATATTTATAGAATCAAATATCATTTTATAATTGACTCGAGTTATGAAAAGAATTTGAAATATTTATGAATCACATGGTGCACCGACAAAAGTGATACGGTTTTGTTTTCAGCCTTAGAATTTATATAACACATACACACCTTGATAGGCCTAAAGTAATTTTATAGAGGGAGAATATGGCCGCAATTTTAGATATAGTTTACAAATCCCACACTTTTAACTACAAAACAAATTATAACATTACATACAAGAAAAAACTAGTTATTAAATATAATAAATTTATTTGATACAAGAGACCGGTTAATACATATATGTATTATGTTAAAAAATATTAAAAAGAAAAGGTGCTTTTTTTATATTATCTTGCTGATTAGTCGGCTGCAATCACTATTAGTTTATTTAATTGGTATATTTTTTTTTATTATTAATGAAATTTTATCCAAATATATGTAGAAACGGACTAGAAACAGTTAACTCATTTTAACGAAATAACATGCGTATTCGTTTTCAATATCATTTTAAGAATTTACATATTGTTGTTAATAAATCCAAGGAACGATGTTACTCTCGAGAACACTACCGGATAGCCAAATTCACATCCCAGAAAATTGGACATTGACGTAACACCAACCTGAAAATTACAATAATAATTTGGACCCAAGTTTTATATACATATGTACATTATGGAACGGATGGCCATACAAATGTAAGGAGAGCAAAATGTTGAATATAATAACTTACCAGCACAGTCCTGTCTCCTCTTTGTACCACAAGTGGACCACCAGAATCACCACGGCATGTGCTGTTACCACCGAGGGTGTTCGTGCAAATGTTCGATGGCTGAATGTTACCGAAGAAAGCGATGTTGCATATTTCGTTAGAGATGACAGTCATATTGACAAAATTTAAGAATTGATTTTTATTGATAGTATCAACTGAAAAAAAGGTACATTTGTTTAACTAAGAAATTAAATTAGATTTGAAGGTAGAAGTTAGAAGTAAATTGAAAATATTTTCCTACCGTCGTTTGTAAGTCCATATCCTGCAGCTGTAACCTCTTGACCAGTAAAGTCATCGAAAACTTCAAATCCACTGGGCAAGGAAACAGTTCCGATAGTATCTAAAAATAAAATGCGTCATTATTGTAAAATAAGGATATTTGTAAAAACACCAGTGTGTTTAAAATTGTATGTACCGGATAACACAACACGTTCGGGTAAACGAATCATGGCAACGTCATTGTGCATAAATGCTGGATGGAAAAGTGGATGGGTGACCACATCGCTGGTACGAATTCTAGTACCGCCTGTAAAGAGCGTTTCCGATCCAAGAACAACAGTGAATCTCCAGGCTTTGCTTCTTCCATCGTCCCAACAATGAGCAGCTGTTAACACTCGGTTTGTGGTAAGAAGAGAACCTCCGCATACCCCTTTTCCTGAGCTACCAAGGATATCACTTATGAGACCGGCCTGCAAAAAGTATAATGTGGTATATATAAAAAGCCAGTTGACGTCTAATGTAGCTAAAGATCTAGTTAAAGAAATAGTTTTTACCTGGTATTTGAATTGTCCAAGTGCAGCAGGAGAGCCGCCAGCAATTCTGCCTATAAAGGGTTTGTTTCGCAGATATTCTTCTTCAGCTTTCTTGATCCTTTCGGCTTCAGGTATACCATATTTAGTCAAGTATCCATAAGCCGTATTTGGAGTAAGTATGTTGTTCAATAAATCGGCGGACCCAAAGGCCGCTAAGGACAGAATTATAAGTGCTAGCTTCATGATTAAATAAAAATTTTAATAGTGTTAGTCGAAGTAATGTTAGTGCTTTATATAGCCTGAATAATCAGTAAGATTTTTAAATAGATAAAAAGACATTGTTATCATTTATTTTAAAACTGATGAATGGAAAACTTTCAAGTATCGCATACGCCCCGCCTCCCACACGCGCGTGATAACGCTTGATTTTGGGATCAAGATTGGAGATCGGGATAGAAACTAGCATAAGTTACTCTATATTTCATCAGCGATCTGGTAATAAAACTCTCATCAAAATTAGTCTAGTTATTTCAGAGATTAACTGGAATAAACAAACAGACTTACAGACATACAGACAGATAATACTAAAAAATGTAATTTAGGTATAACATATGTACCTTATAAATATTCATAGGCATGTAATAAAAAAAGGTTATTTAAATTTTACAAACAGACACTCCAATTTTATTTTATGTGTTTATATGTGTATATAGATGGATAGATAATTAGTATAGCAACTGTAACCCCTACTAGGGATATGATAAAAACAATATGATACTTAAAAATTTACAAGAGTAATTAATCGTATGATTCAGATTAGAATCAGTACTGATGATTGAGGACGATTCATAATAGCTATCTATTACTATATGTTTAATTAGGTAATGTTTCTATATTGTACTATTTTTTTAATTTGTGATAACTATATGTATTTAAATTCTTTAAATCATGATTGTATGTATTGGAAGTTCTTACAATTATTAAGAAGTGATTTATTTTTTAATTTTATATTTCTACATATGAACAATGAAAATCTATTATATTTTGATACAAATTCTTTATACAATAATTTAGGTTTAAAATAAATTATGATGTATCTAAAAAAAAATGAAGAAGTTTATAAATATGTATGATTTGTTGGTTCGGAAGTGCAGAATTGTGTTCTTATGATTTTTTAAAACATCGAGCAGTTTTGTTAATTATTTGATTTATGTAGAATGAACGGTCAGTATTATAAATCCTTAAAAAGAAAATTTAATAATCATTAATACAATCTTAGATAAAAGTATCGCATGTTCTTAATTTTTTTAAATAATCTATTTTATTACATTATGTGCAGGAACATTTTATGTAAGAACCTTTTTAATACAATAGTTTTAGTTTTATAAGGTATACATTGAAATATTCTGTTTGTATGTCTTTCATATCAAATATTTCTAGCATTCATTGGATATGGAGCATGTAATGAATAAATCTTCGAGTTGATTGATGAAGTCTAAGTATAGTCACAATTAACTTTAATATATTTTTACTCTTGATTCTTAAACTTCTTTTAACGATTATTTGGCTTTATATTATGTGAATTTCTTAGTATAAATATTGTTCATATAAAACCCCAATTTTAATGGGAGTCCCTCATGGAGACTTATTGTATACTTCTCGATTGATAGTGTACATTATTCATTGATACTTTTCTAAGACATATCCTTTTTAAAGTAAGCGTATATAGGGTGAGCTGAAACATTTGTAGGCTGACATATAAAAGTCGCCAGTAACGTTTAAAGTGTGATCGTAGTGAGCTTACGAGCGATCAATCAGTGTGAAAATACATAAAAGTCGATTGGCATGTTTAGAGTTCCTATGACGTAATTTTATGTATTAAAAAAAGAAAAATCCATAAACGACGCCTATAAGGTGTTAATTTTGAAGTTTTTTATAGGTATTAAGAAGAAAAAATTGCTGTTTCATCAAGACAGTGCATTCCGGCTTAGTATTTTGGTATTATCTAACAGATTGATCATAAAAACAAATTAATCCCCTTTAAGTTGTTGAAATTTTACATACACAAAGTCTTTAGATATAAAAATAATAACGTTGACAAAATATCTATAATGATCAGATTAATGAATTTCCGTTTCACAGCTGATAGAAGATGATATGAAATTAGTTGCAGATACTCATTTATATGCGGGAAACGACTTCTACATGATACGAAAGGAATACATATTGCACTTAATTTACGAAGGTTTTTTAAGAAGTGGTGTCTAAAAAAGAAATAATTCATATAAAAAATTGAATAGACTCAAAATAGTATAATCCAGTTATTGTATGAATTCTCTTCTATTTTTAGGAATAAGCCATAAAAATCACAAATGTTATACCTTAAAAGCTTAAACTATATACAATATACACTGGGAATATCAAAATAAAAAATAGTCTGTATTAGCTTGAGTGTGACCCCCGAAACCTTATTAGGCGTTTAATTAAAATTATTCTTCTTCAATAGTCGTTTAGCGCATACTATGTGGATGCACTTCTTGATCTATGTGGATGCAATACAAGTATGGGGAGGTAAATAAAGGTTAGTATGTCCCAGTCGGCAGTCGATTATAGCCACGGTGACTTGATTCAATTGTAAGGACAGCTTCTTTCTAACCCACAAGATATATATATATATTTCAAGTTAAGTTTTATAATACCGTGTCAAATAAAAATAATCTTACATACAAAATACTATTTGTTTTCTTAGAGGACACTACGAAAGAATAGAATACATGCATGATGTGAAAATATATGTATATATATTTTTTTTCATAAAAGTGTTAAGAACTTTAGATTATGTTCGTTTAGATCGTTAACATTTTAGATATTTTTTATAATTTAGCCATTACATTAAAATTGTACAGTTGCAGGATATTAGAGCAGTAGGAATAAGTCTTCCTATAGAATGATAAACACTTTAGTTGTGGCCGTTATTAATATTTTACACAAATGGAATGTAATCATAAACTACTTTTTTACTGCGGCTTGGTCAGCATATTTCACCACTCATAAGTTTTCATCCGATATCTAAGAGATCTCTTTATAAAATCATGCCTTGGTGACAATAAAACGGCATCACTATATTGCCGTTTGAGTTTAAATTGAAAAATCTAATTTTTATCTTTAATAGCCGCATTTGTAAAGAACTTTGGAAAGGAGATTGTATTTGAATCCTAATTAAAGTTTAGTTATTTTAAATTTAGGCACTTATAATAAATAAAGTACTGTATGCAATATTTGTATTTTTTTAATGAGAAAGATGACAAACGAGCAGCCGGCCTACCTGATGGAGGTAGTACCGTCACCCATGGACATTTTTTATGTTGTGGATGTGTCTCTACCCTTGATCAGGGAAGAGGGGGGAGGGGAAAAGTGGGAAAGGGAAGGGGTTAGAAAGAATGGGAAAGTGAAAAGGGAAAACACAGCTGTTGATAGCTATTTCAAGTCGGTTTTTTGTGAGAGGTTGGTACTTCCCCGGTCGAGCCAGCCCGTGTTCGAGCTGTGATAACTTGACCACAGCTAGGCTCTACAATCTACAAAAAAATTCTCAATCTTACGTCGAAAAGTCTCAATCCTTTTTCTTTCACTTCAATTAGTTCATTTTCTAAGAGTATCATAAATAGAGTGTCACAAATAAAACAATTTTCTGTATTAGAAGCTATGGCTTCTACCGACTAATGTCTTGTTGAAAGTAGGTGGTATGGAGACTATACACAGTATATAGTCTCCACTAATATCTAAAACTCCCGGAAAATATTCTAGTTAAAACTATCAAATGATTGGACTACAAGAAAAAACAAGTTATTAAATTTAATAAATTTATTGGATACGAAAGACCATTTTATTAATACATACTGCATACATATCAAAAAATATTTAAAATTACATGCATATTTGTTTTTGATATTACTTTTAGAATTTATAAATTGCTGTTAATAAATCCAAGGAACGATGTTACTCTCGAGAACAACACTGGATAGCCAAATTCACATCCCAGAATATTGTACAAGGATGTAACACCAACCTGAAAATGACAGTGATAATTTGGTTCTAAGTCTTGTATACGTTGTGAAACGGATGGTCGTACAAATGTAAGGAGAGAAAAACGTTGAATATAATAGCTTACCAGAACAGTCCTGTCTCCTCTTTGTACAACAAGTGGACCACCAGAGTCACCACGGCATGTGCTGTTACCACCGAGGGTGTTCGTGCAAAGGTTTGATGGACGAATGTTACCGAAGAAGGCGACGTTGCATATTTCGTTAGAGATGACAGTCATATTGACGAAATTTAACAACTGATTTTTATTGATAGTGTCAACTGAAAAAAGGTACATTTGTTTAACTTAGAAATTAAATTAAATTTGATGGTAGAAGTTAGAAGTATATTCAAAATATTTTCTACCGTCGTTTGTAAGTCCATATCCTGCAGCTGTAACCACTTGACCAGTAAAGTCATCAAAAACTTCAAATCCACTGGGCAAGGAAACAGTTCCGATAGTATCTAAAAATAAAATGCGTCATTATTGTAAAATAAGGATTTTTGTAAAAACACCAGTGTGTTTAAAATTGTATGTACCGGATAACACAACATGTTCGGGTAAACGAATCATGGCAACGTCATTGTGCATAAATGCTGGATGCCAAAGCGGATGGGTGACCACATCGCTGGTACGAATTCTAGTACCGCCTGTGAAGAGCGTTTCCGATCCAAGAACAACAGTGAATCTCCAGGCTTTGCTTCTTCCATCGTCCCAACAATGAGCAGCTGTTAACACTCGGTTTGTGGTAAGAAGAGAACCTCCGCATACCCCTTTTCCTGAGCTACCAAGGATATCACTTATGAGACCGGCCTGCAAAAAGTATAATGTGGTATATATAAAAAGCCAGTTGACGTCAAATGTAGCTAAAGATCTAGTTAAAAGAAATAGTTATTACCTGGTATTTGAATTGTCCCAGTGCAGCAGGAGAGCCGCCAGCAATTCTGTTTATAATAGATTTGTTTCGCAGATATTCTTCTTCAGCTTTCTTGATCCTTTCGGCTTCAGGTATACCATATTTAGTCAAGTATCCATAAGCCGTATTTGGAGAAAGTATGTTGTTCAATAAATCGGCGGACCCAAAGGCCGCTAAGGACAGAATTATAATTGCCAGCTTCATGCTTTATTAAATTTGTAATAGTATAAGTCAAAGTAATGTAAGAGCTTTATATAGTCTAAATAATCCGTAAGATTTTTGTACAGTATTATGAAGATAAAAAGAATCATTATTATTATTTGTTTTAAAACTGATAAATTAAAAAAAAATTGATCGCATACGCCCCGCCTCCCACTTGTGCGTGATAAAGCCTTTGTTTGGCATCAGGATTCGAGATCTTGATAAAAACTGTCGAAAGGTACTTTTTACTTCATATGTGACCTGCTTATAAAATTGCCATTAAAATCGGTCTAGCTATTTCAGTGATTAACCGGAATTAACAGATATTCATACAGACAGACTGAAAAGATCATAAAAAATGTTATTTCGCATATATGTACCATATAAATATTCATATGCATGTAATAAAAAAACGGTAATTTAAATATTACAAACAGACACTCCAATTTTATTTCTATGTTTATATATACATATATAGATGGATAGATATAGTATAGCAACGGTTACCCATACTAGGGGTATGATAAAAACAATATAATACTTAAAAAAATTACAAGAGTAATTAATCGTATGATTCAGATTAAAATCAGTACTGATGATTGAAGATGATTCATAATAGCTAAATATTTAATTAATGATTTTATTTGGTACTAATTTATTTTTATAGTGGTATTTTTTTATTATCCTTTAATTTGCGATAATCATATGTATTTGAATTGTTAAAATCATATCTGGATGTATAGCAATTTCTTACAATTTGTATTAAGAAATTATTTATTTTTTTAAGTTTGATCTTTCTACATATGAACAATCATCACCCTAGCGTTGTCCCGGTTGTTCGTCCCGCCCAGGGCGGGAGAACCCAGGGTCCGCTTTCCCACTCAGTTTCCTCCACTTAGCCCGGTCTTCGGCATCCTTCTTGTGGAGTCCATTGGCACGCATGTCATCTTGCACGACATCAAGCCAACGTCTTTTGGGCCTTCCTCTACTTCTGGCGCCAGGTATGGTCATATTGAGGCATTTGTGACCCACGTAGTTTTCCGGTCGTCGTAAGACATGGCCATACCAGCGTAGGCGACTTTCCTGCAATTTGTCGGCAATGTCACGGAAATGCAAACTGCCACGAATGTGTGAGTTACGAACGCGGTCTTTCCGCGTAACGCCACACATCCAGCGCAGCATATTCATCTCCGTGACATGCAACAACCGCCGGTGCCGCTCCAGCAGAGGCCATGCCTCACTGCCGTACATAAGGACAGGCCTAATGATGGTTTTATAGACCTGTCCCTTCAGCACGACCGGCATTTTAGGGTCACAAATAACTCCAATCACCTCACGCCACTTCGCCCAAGCCGCAGTTATACGGGCTTTGATGTCGCGATCGATGTCTCCGGACGCATCGAGCTCAGATCCAAGGTACTTAAAGTGATCCGTACGCCCTACCATGACGTCGTCGATCCAGATGGAGGTAGGATCCGAGCTATTGCAAGCCATATACTCTGTCTTCGTCGCATTAATTTTCAGCCCGCCGTTCTCAAGTGCCCCTTTCCACTCGTGCACACGCCGGATTAAACGTCCCTTGTCCTCATCCACCAATGCGATATCATCAGCGTACATCAGCAGCCAAGGCGGTGGTAACTTCTGTACACTGGCTGACAGTTCGTCTAATATCACACTGAATAGGTATGGGCTTAGGACAGATCCTTGATGCACGCCTACAGTAATAGGGAAGGGTGTGGTGTCACCAACAGCGGTCCTGACTATAGCATCGGAGTTGTGGTACATGTCTCGTACGATTTCCACATAGGTATTTGGCACCATCTTGGACCTCAACGCCCACCAGATTATCTCTCTGGGAAACACAGTCAAAGGCCTTCTCCAAATCCAGAAATAGGAAATGAAGAGGCATATTCTTTTCCCTGTGTTTCTCCATAAGAATCCTAAGGGCGAAAATAGGGTCCATGGTACCACGTCCCGGTTGGAAACCGTACTGGAAATCCGACACTGTACACTCCTGCCGGATTCTGTTATCAATTATGCGCTCGAAGAGTTTCATGGTGTGTGACATCACCTTTATACCACGGTAGTTACTGCAATCCTGAGCAGACCCTTTGCCCTTGTAGACCGGCGTTATAAAACTCAGCCTCCACTGATTCGGCATTTTCCGGTGGTTCAGGATTAGATTAAAAAGGCTAGTAAGGATGCACACACCACGAGCACCCATCGCTTTCCACGCTTCAATTGATACCTCATCCGGTCCGACAGCCTTCCGATTTTTCATGCGACGAAGAGAATCGAGTACTTCACCAGACGAAATCGGTGGCACAAGTCCTAGGTTTGGAGGAGGTGCTGGTGGTCGCACCTCTTGGTGTTGAGTGTTCAGTAATCCGTGGAAATAAAAGCGCCATCTCTCCTTCACTGCACACTCATCGTACAAGAGCGTTCCGTTAGCGTCAGTAACACAGCGGCAGTGACTTGTATCCTGGGCTGCCCTGATCCTAGAGCGTGCTAGTTATAAATGAGCTTATGCCCCTCAGGCGAGTCCAACTTCGCATATAGTGGTTGCAAGTGTTCCCGCCTGGCTCTGGCTACAGCTTTCTTAGCCTCTCTTTTCGCAGTCTTGTACGACTCGTGATCTTCAGGGGATTTAGACGCTTGCCACTTCTTAAAGAGCACTTTCTTCTCCTGTAAGACCCTTTGGACTGTGGCATTCCACCACCATGACTCCTTGTCAATTTTGCGGCCTCCTTTCGCCACACCGAGGATTTGCTTTGCCGTTTTCGTGATTGTTGTCTGAAGCTTATTCCAGTACTCTTCAACGGACTTGCCTTCTGTATCCGGACTTATGTCCCCAGTGGCACGGTCAAATTCCGAGAACCTGGTGTGATCCAGCAGCCACCACTTGATTTGGCGGCGGCAACGCTCAGCGTGTTTACGGCGAGGCTTCACGCAGAGATCCATAACAAGGAGTCGGTGCTGGGCAGTTAGACACTCTCCGGGGTATGACCTTACAGTTGGCCACGCGGCTGACAAGGCTTCTCCTAGTCAGAAGGTAGTCGATTTGAGTGGCGCTTCGACCGCTCCTGTAGGTGATAAGATGCTCAGGTTTCTTTTTGAAAAACGTGTTCACTACGGCCAGGTCAGCGGCGACGCAGGTTCGGAGAATGGTTTCTCCCTCCGCGTTACTTCGGCCGTAACCATATCCGCCATGAACACGTCCATACTCCTCGTGCGTCTCTCCCACATGACCATTCAAATCACCACCCAAAACAATACCATGAGACAACGGTATGGCGGCTAGCACGTCACCGACACGCTCCCAGAACAGTGCCTTATCCGCATCACTGCATCCGGCCTGTGGGGCGTAGGCACTTATGAGGTGAGTTACTACTCCCTCAATGAGTACCCTTACCACCATAAGTCGATCGCAAATACGCTTGACTTCCAAGACACTGTCATGGTAGCGCTCGGAAAGCACAACCGCCACACCGTTCTCCCCGCCAGGAGAGCCTGTATAAATCAGCTTGTAGCCTTGCCCTATGTAACGGCTTCTGTTGGCCTTCCACCGTGTCTCCTGCAAGAACGCCACCGCCACTTTTCGTCTGGCGAGTGTGGCCGCGAGCTCTGTAGAGCGTCCCGTCAGCGTGCCAATGTTCCAGCTAGCAAAGCGGATCTTCGCAACAGGCGCTAACTTCTTTAGCCGGGTTCGCGCGGCACCCGGTAGCCCTCGCCCACTTGTCGCAGGGGCAAGGCGATCCCCCTGCGCGTCGTTATACGGCGACGCCCTAGCCATGTTGCTTTCTCTTTCTCTTTCCTTTCCTATCATTTTTATTGGCTTGTTTGCCTATTACCGAGACGACTGCCGTCTGACTCCCGAACCTCTAGAGTAAACTCCAGAGGAAAAGCATCGCCAGAGCCCTTTCCGTTGTCCAGCAGGGGTGCCACGTGCAGGCAGGGTTGGCTTGGGCTCCTAGATGGAATTGGAGCCCCTTACCCCCTACATATGAACAATGAAAGTCTATTATTATTGTATAAAATTCATTATACAGTAATTAATAAGTTTTAAAGCAATTTTTGTGTCATAAACAAAAGTAAATTAATAATTTTATAAACATACATGTTTTGTTGGTTCTAGTTCACTGTACAACAGTTCGGAAGTGCAGAATCGTGTTCTAATGATTTTTTAAGCAGTGACCAGTTTTGTTAATTCCTAGATTTATGTCGGAATGAATGGTCAGTGTAATAAATCCTTAAAAAGAAAAATTTTAGTACCATCAAACGAACTTTGATACTATGTATTATGGCATCTTCTTAAACTTTTTAAATACTTTTTTTATTATATTATGTTCTTGAACATTTTATAGAAAAACATTTTTATTACATATGGAGCATGTAATAAATAAATCTTCAAGTTGATCGATAAAGTCTCAAGGATCATCACAATTAACTTTGATATATTTTATTCTTGATTTATTAACTCCTAATAAGTTTTCGCTTTATACTTATTTGCGTTTCTTTGATACGACAGGAATACATACTGCAATTAATGTCCGAAGGTTTTTTTTTAGAAGTAGTATTGTTTTTAGTATAATGCATTTATTGTATGAATTATCTCTTCCATTTTTAGGTATAACCCGTACTCCTCCTTGCGTCAGTTTTCTCAATGCTGAGCGTCGTGATCTTGCATGAATGCAGACTGCAGACAATACGGCTCCACCTGTGTCCATCTTGTTCAGTGTGTAATGCCTCGTGGACAGTGGACTCGAGCGCGGAGATGACCTGATTAGACTAACGCATCAAATTACGTCGTCTGCGTCTCCTTTCTTCGGCCTTGCCAGTTACCATGAGCTTTCCTAGGTTACTTCCACTTCTTCTGGCAATAAGGCCGAAGTATTCAAGGATTAGCGCAAGTAGATGTTTGAAATTTTTAGTTCTTTTAGTATAGATGCGTTGGTCGAGCGTGCTCTCCAAGGACCAAGGTATCCTGAGCATTCTACGCCAAC